GTATAGGTAAGTGTACAATGACCTGGTTTTCCCTTGTGATAACTATTTTGATGCTTTTTAAAAGAATCCAAAATCAGATGCTTTTCCTCTTTTTTTTCTGTTTTTTTTTTTTTTTTTTTGTTGTTGTTTTTTTTTTGGACTCCTGCTTTATTTTATTGACACCCTAAACACAATGTTTGCTCATCATAGAATTAAGCCTACAAGAAAGTCTCCTTTGTCCCATAGGACCCGGATGCCAAGCATCTGAGGCCTGGCCACCATTTCTTCCTCCCATATCCCTGGCAGACCCCCATCTAGGCCATATACACATCCTTTTCCACTGAATGTCTGTTCATTTCTTTTACCCATGTTCTAAGTGCATTACTTTTAACTGTTGAGTTTTGGGAGTTCTTTGTATATTCTAGATACAAGCCCTTTGTCAAATACGTGCTTTGCAAGTATTTTCTTTAATCTATAATTTGTCTTTTCATTCTCTTAACACTGTCTTCTTCACTCCCCAGTTTTATTGAGTTATAATGATTGACAAAATAGTAAGGAATTTAAGGTGTACAACATGATGATTTGGTGGTATATGTTTAGATAGCAAAAGTTTTACATTTTTAAGAGGTTCAGTTTATCATTTTTTTCCTTGTATGGGTTGTGCTTTTTTTGGTCAAATGCTTTTTTTTGCATTAATTGACATGATCATATGATTTTTCTTCTTTAACCTATTCGATAGGTAGATTATATTGATTCATTTTTTGAATATTAAAATAGCCTTGCTTACCTTAAATGAATCCAGTGTGGTTGCAGTGTATTATGCTTTTTATACATTGCTATATTTGATATTTGAATATTTGTTGAAGATCTTTATATCTAAGTTCATGAGAGATATTGGTCTACATTTTCTTTTTTGTGCTATTTTTTGTCTGGTTTTGGCATTAGGGCAACACTAGCCTCATAAAATGAGTTGGGAAGCATCCCCTCTTCTTCTGTTTTCTTGAAGAGATTGTGTAAAATTTCCAGTGAAATTTTCTGGGCCTAGAGATTTTGATTTCTAGTATTATTTTAATGTGAATTTCTTCGTACTCATAAGAACAAATGGAGCCCAGGAAGACAGTGTACATGAAGGTCTGGAGAAATCTGGTTCTCAGTTACTCTTGTCTGCCACATGTGTATATGTCACATTAGACTGTAGGCTACTCAAAGGTAGCCATTGTGTGTTGATCATTGTGGGATCTCAGCACTAAGCACACAGCTGATACACAGTAGGTGTTCCGTGTAAGAAATTGTTGAGTAATCGAATTGACCCTCAGCTGCTATAGACTGGCAGCCTGATCCTGATAGAGGAGCCTGATGAAGGAAGGGCACTGTGGAGTTGCCTGAGTCCCCTTCTGGGGGTGGAAAAATCTCTTTGGAAGAAGGGAGGAGTAGATAGTATTGATGGTTCCATTTCTTCTTCCTATCTGCCTAAATCAGGCAGGCCCTGATTGGCCACCTCACTGTGAGCAACCGGATGTGTTCAAGAACCTGAAGAGCATGGGATGCTGGTGGGGCAGAGGGATGTGTGGGTAGGGGCAGGACTAGGGCTGGCTGCGACTGGTGTTCCTTCCTGCCATGGGTATCTCCTCACACAGAAATGAGCTCTGAGAATTATACTTCAAAATAGAGGATGGACAGGATGTATTGAGCTTAGGCTTGTAGAATAATAGTTCTTAATTATCTATAGATGAGTAGTCTCAGGCTTGCAGAAAGTATAGACTTGCCTAAGTCTCTCTGAATTTTTACACCACGATGCTTGCCACTTGTACTGCAGTTTCTAGTCTGCTAAGTGATATATTTTGATATCCTTTAAATTATACAGTTTTAGAAGGTTTTCTACCAGAGCTACATTTGTATGTGGGTGGACATGGGAATACATGCATGCATAAGTAAGTGTATAGGTTTTTAGGTGTATTTCTACTGAGAGAGCCCAGTTACTGCCAGTAAGTTCTGGTGCTCTGCTCATTTCATAATGTAACAGAGCATTTGGATTGCTAAATTAAAGACTATTATTACTCTGAACCGGGCATCTTGTGGCAGTTAAATTATTTGATTTGTTCTTCTAACACTATCTGTATTACCTGCTATCTTTACTAATTGAACTTTTTTTTTTTTAATAGAATCTACCTATCTGCATTACTCTCTGGGCAATTGTGAAATGCTTTTACAAATATTTATAAAATATTTGCAATTCATGTTATGTTGAATTGCTATTTGTTTCTGAGCTAAATGGGAATTCTTTTTTATAATTTGAGAATTTTGGAATTTTATTGATTATAAAAACAATGGGCCTTATGGTAGGTTTATTCGTGATTCTATAATAATACCTTCAGTGTAGTAATTGCACAATACCTTTGTCAATTAGCCAATAGGTAAAACTGATGATAAATACTTAACTTCTAAGGCTTTGTCCTAACAGAAGGTATTCTGGTACAACTCATTGAAAGTTCTCTCCTTGTAAGCACCTCTACCCTGATCCTAAGCTCAACCTTAACCAAACGTTCCATTTTCTACGCAAGTTCTTTTTGGGCAGGATTCACCTCTGTATCTCCAGCACCTACCACAATTCCTGATGCTACAGTATAAGCTGAAGGAGGGCACGATCACTGTGCATCTGCCCCTTAGAACAGTGTCTGGCATATGTGGAAGCACTCAATACAGATTCTTGAATAAATAACTCAATGGTCAGTACATTTTTACTGAGTTACTATGTTTCATAGGCAAAAATCGCATTGTTTTGTAATCTAGATACAATAACTGCACAAAGGGTACCTATTTATGGCTGGATTTGCTTTTCAAGGTAATCCCCTACCTTCATCAAGAACATTGAAAACCTAATAGCAAACAAGAGTCAAAAGGCAAAAAATCATTTGACGAGAGAATAGACAATGAGGAATGGAGGTCACCATTATAGAAAATGGATCCTTTTTAACCCTATAAATTCAGTATACTGATTTGTGCACACAGTCTTTGTCATTTGTGCACTTAGGAAATACCACCAAAAAACCCTTATAGATTTGTTCTTGTACAACAACTCATTTCTCAAGTTATTTAGGAAAGAAAGAGCATTACATGTATAGTAGATATATAGTTTTCATATCTTTTAACTTTTCTGTTTGGGTTGATCCCCTATTTGGGGAATTTTAGCAGTTTATTAACAGGTCATGAATCATCGTAGGAAACTCAGAAATCCAATGTCTTCTGATTACTTGCTTTATTTTTCCAAAAAATGGATGATATTCAGGTTTTCATCTGCCTACAAAAGAAATCTGATAGTTGCAAACACAATTAAGAATAAATTCATGACTGTTTCAAGAATAAATGAGCTATATATGTTTGAACCATCATGCAAAACAAAACAGTAAAATGAAATGAAAAATTAAACAAAAACCTAACTGCTTTGCCCAAGCACGTCTCATTGGCTCATAATCTTGTCAAAGATTGAATTGGAAAGTCCATGGGGAGGCACATATGGCAGGAGGCAGACATTGGAGTGATGCCTGAGCTGCTAACTCCTTAAAACATGACTGAAGGAGGCTGTGTCTGGCATAACTTGCTCTCCAGAGCTGAAGGTTTCGCATCCTGTTATATGGGCAAGTGGCTTTTGGCTTGATTGGAAAGGGAACAATCACATAGGTCAGTTTCTTCCAAATTGTTTCCTTTCATTAGTTTTTGATTGATTGTACTTATTTCTTTCTTCAAATCCCTAAATCCTTGGTTTACTATTTCCTTTCTTTTGTCTTTTATTTTCTCTTTTTCTTTTTCCTTTTTTGCCTTTTCCAGCGTCCATAGTTTCCTGTTTCAAATGTTGAGAATGAGAGTTGACCTTGATCCATGAGTGCCCACTTCTAGTCTGTTCCCTGGGTGCCTTGTAGGAAGAGGGTTGTGTCTTGAGTCTGTGGATTCAGAGGAGACGCAGAGTCAAGTGGCAACCCCGAAGAACATGAAAGGGGCTGCCGAGATTGTGTAGCCCAGGCAGTCGGAGGTACTGACTTGCAGCGCCAGAGAAACTTGAAGTGCTCGAGAGAGGTCATGGATATATGTTCAGGTGACTTTTAAAGTAAATTGATAAAATGCCATCAGATAAAGGCTTCACACGGAAGCCACTAAACATTTCAAATTTGCTGGAGACCCTTGCTCTCACATCGCCTGTACTTATACTTCATAGAACTTACCAGTTATAAATACATAATCGTATTCATTTTCTTCCCTCAAGTTAGCTCCATAAGAATAAGGACTAAAAGTATTTATCCCTAGCACTTAGAACAGGGCCAGCCACATAGCAGATGCTCAATAAATATTTAATAGATGAGCATCACCATTTTTCTGTAATCCACTCCTAGGTTGGATAGAAGATGGAATTTGTTGTTTGAAAGGCCTAGTGTCAGCTTGGGCTCTGCCTCTTATGAGCAATGCTACCCAAGTCCTCTGAGCCTGTTTTCTCACGTGTTTAATAGAATTTCTCCGGAGGTCCCGAAATCATGAAGCATTTGGATGGACATTTTATGGACGCAGGTCCCCTTCTCCTCCTAATGTTGGTTTTTCACTACCCCCTCCCTGCCTTCCAATGGGTACTCTTCAAATCATGGCTCTTTATCTGAGGGTTAGTTTACATGGGGGGAGGAACTAACACTTCTGCAATGGTTATTCTCTGTCATTATAAAAATCTCTTGAAAAAGACAACTGTAGAGCTCATGAATCTTGGGTTTAGAGTTGCTACGTAGCTGCAACCAAACTGCAGAGCAGGCAAGTCCTTTGCAGTCTGCAAATCTCTGCCTCCCTGAAGGTCCGCAGAGTAGAAACCTGTGAGATGGGAGGCACGGGGAGCCAGGTGGTATAGAGGGGAGACGCTTTCTGATTCAAAGGAACAGACACTTCAAACGGTGGAAAGACTGGGCCTAGGAAGAAAGAGGTGATCGCTCTTGTACACCTCCCTTCCCAATTCTTTCTATTAAGAAGACAAGACAGAAGACAAGGAGTAGGTAAAACAGGATGTAAAGTTTATATACAAGAATATAATGTTTATCTGAAATATTTACAGTGTGGGTTAAAGCAATATTTTTACAACTTTTTAAAGGTCAACTACTATGTATCTTACAGGTAAGCTACAATGGTTTAATTTGCAAAATTAAGTAAAAAATGTTTTAAACAAAGCTTAAAGTATTCAGGTCACTTATAAAATTTGTGGTGCCCTTTATTTGAAGGAATCATGCTATGATGGTTAATGTGCTTTTTATAAATGGAAGTACTCTACCTGGAAATGCAATACATGCTACAGTCGTAAGTTCCCGACAAGGGTGTAAAATGACAAGTGAACTGTTATAAGACGTAGGCCCCGAGTCTCAGGCTGGAGCTGAGAGATGCTGAGCTTTATCTCAGCTGGGTTTGTGACCTGCAACAGTTTGGGCCTCTTACAAAAACAAAGCTATTTGTATGTTCTGGCAACATCAGCATAAAGTGAAAATCAGGTGACCCAAACCAAACAGGAAAAAATCAGACCCAAGTCACAGTTGTACCTATTCAAAACTAGCTTTAAAGTGAGCTATTTTAAAACTTCTCGAAAATATGCATGATTTATTAGTTTGATTATTTCTACAAGACTTAGGGTTTTTTCCTTTATGTGGAAAACAGCTATCCATTCCTGAGGCCTCCTAAGGCCTTATAACTCAGGAAATGCTGGGGGTGCAAATGTGCAAAAGGCAGGGGACGCTGCTCCAGGATGGGGCCGGAGCTGCTGGGACTGTGCTTGGGACACGAGAGTGGAGGCCTCGGAGCGGAAATGGTGAGCCGAGCCCTGGAGCCGGCCTGTCGGGGCGACCTGGGCCGCCGGAACTAGCACTGCAGCTTGCGGATGCTGCGTGAGATGCGCTTGAACTCTCTCTGCCCCTTCTGCCACCGCTTCACTGAGGTGATCACCAGCTCCCCGCCCAGTTTCTGTCCCATGACCAGATAGGGCGCATTGATGTCATTCATCTCCTCGCAGGTGCACTGCAAGCTGTCTTTGAGCCACAGCACCGACTTCTTCAGGTCCCTTTCGGACACACCGTTCAGCTTGTAAATGGTCTTGCTCTTGGTCTCCAGGATGATTTTGGTATCTCTGTTGATGTAGGTTATCTCCTTCACTTTTATTTTCAGTGCTACCAAGACAAGAGGAGATGGAATCACAGCAGTTATAATGGAGGACAGTATAGATCGGGAGCCTCCCTCCCTCCCCCCATACGGGTGTGACCTGGCTTGGGGGGACGGAAGAAGGGTTTCTTAGAGCCAGTGAGACTATTAAGAGCTGGGGGCAGCAGGTGGCTCCATTCCTAAAGCCTCAAAGGGTTTGCCAGTCACTTCGTTTCAAATTAGCCATCCTTTCAAAACCCCCTTTGCGGCACTCAACTTTCCTTCCTTGCTCTGAGTTTGCGTGTTGGTCGCATGTGGTCTGTACTCTCAACACACGATTTCCCCTATTGGAAATGTCAGCATGAAAAGAAATGCCTGACTCTTAGGTGAAACATGATCCTTCCGTGGCCGTGAACTTTAAACTCAATTTATTACGTTGGAGAGGTTTTTGGACAAACCTGTAAGGAAATTATATCACACAATCATTGTTTTCTAAAGAACAGACTACAGGGAAGAATTGATCTTACAGCTGCATTTGATTTGCTAAAGTAACTAGGAGAAAAATATCCAAGACTCTTTTTAAGAGCACATGTTTAGCTGTAAAAGTGTTTTTCTGAAGACCTCATCCTCATATGCTATCATTTGCCTGTCCAAGGCCAGGGCGTTTACAGATCATATATGTACTGTTTCCAAAATGGATATTAGACTCATTAGAATGCTAAGACCAAAAGTAAGTGGTTTACATAAAAGACACATTTTATAGTCATAAACAGTATGCTTTGGGAAAGAAAACCCTACAAACATATATGCTGGAATTACATTTCAAGAATCCATGAAGGCAGGGAAAGGATAGAACTTTAAAGTTGGAAGAAACCATCCAGTTAAAATATCTTGTTGATACATGAAGAATCTGAGATCCAGTAACATGTAGTGACTTACATGAGGTCACCCAGGTAGGCTATGCCCTGAATGAATCTGGTTCTGAGAACATTGATCCCCAAACCTCCTCCTCTAACACCATTGTGGTCTCATAAGGCAACTTCCAATTTCTTGTCCTGGTTTGAGCATTAACTCACCCAATTGTAATGTGTCCCAAGACCCTTGGTGCTATTGACAATCGTTTTGTATGGATCATGTGCTAGTGGTAACTTCTTGTCTTTGATGGAGTAGAGGAAGAGCTTTTTTTGTGTGTGTGTAACTGCTTTGGGGGTTTCTTTCTTTCTTCGAAAGGGAGTTTGACTAAGCATGGCTTTTCCATTCACCTGGGAAATGACTGAGGCTCAACCAGGTAAATCAAGGATGCTGTGACTTGGCCAATCATTATTTTGTCTGATATTCATTTAAACTATATATAGTATTGAGTTCTCAGGGTTTCTGAGACTTAAATCATGGAATAAGACACCTGGAAATGTCACATGTTCCTGAAGCCTCTGCGTAAGGGGTGGGGGTGGGGATGATACATGAGACAAGTGATCATATGCTGCCTGTGAGCCTCGCCTATAGCAAAGATAGAGCATGTGTGAAATTTTGCCTGGTCAGTTCAAACATTTTTGAACTCCAAACATCAGAAAAATCATCACTTTTAACCACAGGGAAGATTTATGAGTCATATTTTTCTAGCTTTAAAATAACCAACTTTGCAAAAGTATACCATGGAAAAACATCAGGCATTTCCTCCCTAGATTTTCAGCTGGGACCAAATACAAGGAATCGAAGCCCCAAAGTAACTTTTCTGCCCTGGAGGATGTAGATGCAGGATGTGGTAGGAGGCAGAGGGGATGATGCTCTCCGATTCAGCATAGGTTGCGTATAGTTCGGGCCTTTCTATCTTCACCACTGAAATGTGTGCCTTGTACTTAGGAGGGCAGTGGGGAGAGATTGCGATGTTAAGTAAATGAGACTTCTACCCTTGTTCCTTCCACCCTTCTATTACTCCGCCAAAGTACAGAGGCAGTATGGATTACTGCTTATAAACAAGGAGTCTATAATGTACTTCCCACAATTCAGGTTCATTACCCCTTTTGGGACAAAATCAATGGGGGGAAATAGAAAACAAAGCTTGTGAGGAATCTGTATGTGTGATACTTAAATGTAATGACTTCTATGTAGTTTTGAAAGGCTTTCGCCTCTAAAAAGGAGCTAGCACACTCTCTCTCTCTCTCTCTCTCTCACACACACACACACACACACGCACACACACACACACACACACTTTTTGGCACAGGTCTTGACAGAGCATCCTTAGGACAGTCTTCTGTAAGATAAGCCACAAAGCCAGCAGTTAATACATGTGTGCGTGTGTCCCCTAAATCAACTGTTATGGAGCCCCAAGATATAACCAACTTTTTCATGGAAGTCAGGAGAGAGATCTGTATTTAATCTAGTGCAAAGGACATAAGCCATCAGAAGAGAATGATATTTTATATACATTTTAATATAAAATGTATTAAAATTATATTTTCCTATCTTGCCCTTGATCAAATCTTGTAGCATGGAAGCTAAGAAGGGTGTTTTGGTAAGGCCCTAGAGGTTTGGGATTGCTGCTGGCAGCATGCCTGGCCTTCAGCTACTTGGAGAGTTGTATACATTTGAATCTAGACATATGAAACCCTATCATCCCATTGGTGGCTTTGGCTGAGGGGAGGGATTGCCCAGGACTCAGAGTTGCCTTCTTTCTTTTCCCTTCCTTGGCAGTGGGAAGCTTTTCCTAAAGCCATGGCTCTGGCTGTTCCGGGACCAGCGAAGGTTAAACCCAGGACATTTCCTGGAAGAGACCTGGGGTTGTAAGGAGCAGTGATGGGATTGTTCCTGGAGTGTCCAGGACCTGACCAGGCCTGGGAGGCCATTCCTCAGTAATGGGAGCGGGAGTGATTTCTCAGTCTCAAGGACTTTGTTGAGGATGTAGACATATTAACACAGATCTATTACAGTCCACTATTGTTTGATAGAGCAGGGACCATATCCGTTTACAAGTTCAGCCTTCTGCCTGAATAAATGCTTCTAAGGGGTACCAACCACTTAAACACATCAGAAGGTGCCTGTTTTGGGAATGTAATGAAATCCAGAATGCCTCAGGAGTCTGGGCAAAGTTCTTGGCCATTGCCAACTCTGAATTTAGCATTTATCCCTGTGTCTAGTTGGACTCCTCCTCTCACCTCAGGGGCCTGAGGATAATAGATAAGGTGCTGATGGAGGTCTGTGCAGTCCCAACCCTCTTTTATAATACCCTTTTAAGGGTAGTGACTTACACTCTGTGGAACTTGGGTAACATATCACACACATTTATTGTCCCCCAGCACCATGTCATCACAGCATCTTTCATGTATCTTACCAAAATAAATCCCTAAGCTTTATTTCTTCTTTTTAAATTTAAGGACCACTCACCCCCCAATTGTTAACCAGTGCCTTGGATACATTCACTCATGGTGGAACACGGAAGAGGAAAGCATTATGGGTTATGACTAAAGTAAGGATATTTCTGTTTGGCCCTTTTTTATTTGTGGCCGACTTCATGCCTTGTGTGTGTTTTGCTGGGGGGCTGATATTTACATGTTCCCATCCTGGTGCATATGTCAAACGTCAGAGAACATGGCCCAGGATTAGGCTTGTTGGCAAGAAAAAGCCAACATGAAATGAAAAATGTGCCATTGAAAAATTGATAATTTTAATAATTCCCATTATTTGATTATTGCCTAACAGAACTATGAATCTCACCTAAAAAAATACAACTCAATACAAGATAGTTATATAGGGAGGAAACTAGGATAGAGCAAGTTAGATGATTTTAAGGAGGAGGAAAGGCGATAGTATTTTATCCAGCCTTTATCTAGAAACATCTTAATGATTTGCACCTTTAAATTTGAGTGGTAAATAAAACTTCTAAATGGGAAATCTTTTGTTGTTGGTGGTGTATTACTTACCAAAATCATTTTTACAAAGAGTTTCCATTATGTCGTTGTCATCTTCATTTTTATTTTTGCAGGCTTCACATACCTTTGGAGCTGGAAAGGTTAAAAATTAGTAAGTTTGCTTAAAAGGGAACAGCAGGTAGCACTTGTAAACAGCTCAAAGGGGCCTACCCAGGCAAGACTAGCAATTGTCCTACAAGACCCCAGCTTCTGCCTCCTTTATAAAAGGATCACTCATTCCTATGGAAGTTTCTCATGCCTGCCATTTTTTGATGGGCAAAAAAATGCGCATATGTTGTTTAATAAAGGGTGTATCCCAAAGAAAAAGGGCATTGGAGGCAGAGTGTGCAGGTGGTAGCCACAGTTAACTGGATGGGTCACAGCTTTTTAGCTCTTCCTCCTCGACCCCTAGGACAAACTCGGTCTCTGAAAAAGCTGTTTGTTCCCAAAGCCTCTATGAGGAGAAAGGACCAAAAGACTCGAGAAGTTTTGAAAAATGGCCACAAACTATGCCCAAAAGATTCTTCCTCAGCTGCAAGACACCAGTTTAGCCTGGTTTCTCTTAGGCTCTTTAGCCGAGTTCTCATTTCAAGGTATTTTTGAGTTTGGACAGGGAGAGGTGGCCAGTGGTGTAAGGGTCACGGAAGGGCTCTTCCCACCCTGGAAATACACCCCAGTAAGTACAACCGCCTGCTCTAATTGGTTCTGTCACTTTGTGCTTTCTGCCAAGTTCACGCTTGAGTTAAGCAGCATTTATTTATTTCACTGTTGTTTCTGTCCTCAATGGAGGTTCTTCTTGCCCCTCTCTGGCCATTTCAAACCAGCCACAAACAAACAAACAAACACACACCCTGAAGCTTTTCCTGAAGCTAATCAAAGTTGAAGCAAACAGTCTCTGGGGTCTGACCAAACCTAGGAACATACTCACCTGCACAATGATCAGGGTCTACGCTAAGACTCTTCTAAAAGAGTCTGATTTCTTGGGAAAAGGGAAAAAAGAAAACATACTCCCTTTCTCCCATTTATAATGTGCTAATGCTGTCTTTAAAATTCAGGTGAAATTTGATTTTCATTAATATGAAATTGAATTTTCACAGAAGAAAACTTTATGTAACTCAATAGAAGAGTTATCAAATCAGAAAAATGGCAGAGCATATTTCGAAGACCATACACTTTTATTTTGAAGGAAGAAAATGGTTTCGGGAGAAAAGTAGCATATAATGGTGCCGATAGTGGAAAGAAATAACAACAAAAGCAACACACATAAAACTGTCCTTAACTCTTCTCACTCAAACAAAATAAAACATTTCCAATTAGGAGCTCTAGGAATGTATATAAAATGTTACTAACCTGTATTGGTTGGTCTGTGGTGTATGTTGGACAAATGTTTGAAATATGCCAAACATTTGCAATAAATTAGAAATCTAACCAATAAGATGATTACGCACTCATGGTGCCTGCCAGAAAAGATTGCTAAGCAACATTGCGTTTTCTTTAACGATGGATGTAGGAAAACAGAGATTGAAAGGGAGCTGCTCGAGCCCTGGAAGGGGTTAGAGTTTAGCCCCCTTTCTATCTATTCCAGGAGGACCTAAATCAGCTCAGACACTGTATGTGTTTTCTTTTCAGAAGGAATATCAAGAGCCCATGAGGTTTTCATCGCTTTGATGGTTCTTGCACAGGAACTCCCCCCACCCCTCGTTTTCTAAAAACCTGGGAAACTCTCTTTTGCATGATTTTTTTTTCCAGTTAATTAAAACCACTCCCAAGATAAAAGCTGAACTGTGATAGAAGAAGATGATTCCTGGAGAGTCCCTTTATGACCCCTTGCTTAGACACCTGGGCAGTTACAATCAGGGCTCAATTTTCAACACGTTCAGAGCCAGTCCTGCTTTTATTTCTCAAACTCAAATCGGCAAAGAACAAAAAGTACCTTAAAAGAATATCTGTTTTGTGGATTTTGGCTATCCTGTCTGTATAGGATTGTTGCTGTGCCTACAATCCTGCCCAGCGCTCAGAGCGTGCTGCATGAGGCTGAGCGAGAAGCCTCCGACCGACCAGGCGCTCACCACAACCTCCTCCGCCCAGGACCACTTCGGACGCTCGGAATTTCGACCCCCCTGCTAGCATCTTTAAAAATAATTGCGTATCTATAAGGAAAAGATGTCTTTCAGTCCAGTTTCTTTCTTTTAAAAAGCTGTCCCTAAGAAAGAGCCACTGGTATAACTGGGAAAGGAATTAAGAGGCTTGGGTGTGTGTGTCGAGGTGGGGGGGAGGGTCTCAAATTTGTCTCGACACAGGAGGGCGAGGAGAGCGTCTGCCCCCTCCCGAGACTGGCATCTCAGGCGGGGAACCATCGAGACGTGGGGCAGGGGCCTTCCAATCCTCCCCCCCTTCCCCGCAGAAAGCTTTAACGGAGGTGGGGCGGGGGGTGGGAGGGAATAAGGGGAAAATTTTACCTTCCTCGGTGGCCGGCAGGAGGTGGTCGCTGCTAGCGAGGGGGATGCAGAGGTCGTTATCTTGGGGGAAACGGTCGCACTCGAGCATGTCGGGCCAGGGGAAGCCGAAGGCGGACATGACCGGAGCGCAGCGGTCCTTCACCTGCACGCAGAGCGAGTGGCATGGCTGGATGGTTTCGTCCAGGTCATCGAGGCAGACCGGGGCGAAGAGGGAGCACAGGAACTTCTTGGTGTCCGGGTGGCACTGCTTCATGACCAGCGGGATCCAGGCGCCCGCCTGCTCCAGCACCTCCTTCATGGTCTCGTGGCCCAGCAGGTTGGGCAGCCGCATGTTCTGGTACTCTATGCCGTGGCACAGCTGCAGGTTGGCCGGGATGGGCTTGCAATTGCTGCGTTTGTAGGAGAAGTCGGGCTGGCCGAAGAAGAGCCCGCGCGCCGAGCCCAAGCAGCAGTGCGAGGCGAGGACCAGCAGCAGCAGCGAGCCGGGACCCTGCGGCATCGTGGGCGCGCGACCCCCGGGGGTGGGGCGGAGGGAGCGGAGCCGGGGAAGCGCGAGGCGGCTGGGGCCCGAGC